TGCAAGCATAACTCAGTTATTAGTCCAAGAAAAACAAGAGGACCTACCATTTTCTCCGAACAACTCTGAATCTCGTTCCTTATGAGTTCCCCAAAGTTGAACTCAATGCCCTTCATGAGAATGTACACCATCATAGCCCTATTGCGCTTAATGGAGGAATCGTGAGAAGTGGGGATCAACTGATTCTTCACCACATATGTCCAAACCATCGTTTGCTCATTGATGTCGAGGGGCTTTATGGAAAGCTTCCCCGTGGTTGAGACGGTCCATGTCTTATGTGGTCTACAAATAAGCCTACGCGCCTCCTCCACTTGCTCGTTCGATGGATGCACCAAAATCTCATTACCTATGGCATTAAAGACATCCAACAAACCATAGTGAGTATTAATAATGGAAGGCGAGAATTTTACCACTTTACCCCGTACTCTCAATACATCCCCTCGGTTGGGATTGATGGCAGCATAAAACTCCTTGACTAAGGCCTCGAATACACTCGTAGTTGAGGCAAATAACGACTCCCAACCATTCTCCACAAGCCTTCTCCTAACATATTCCGGCATGGGCTCTTGTGCTTCATCAAAGCCCTCTCAAGTAGAATTTCACGTGCTGTGAAGTTTGGCCTCCCCACCTCCAATCTCACCTTTTTTACTCTTGATGGTGTTTGTTCGGTAGAATCAGGCTCCTCTTCATTGGCCTCCTCAAGTGGCTCTTCTGCCCCTCTTTGCACCCTAGCCCTATTGGCTTTTTTAGATGGAGCAGTCTCGGCTTCTTTTTGGACGACCAAACGTGCTAAGCGGCTTGGGTTCTAGGCCTAGAAATTGTGCCTTCTGCCACTTTTTTCTTCTTTTGTGTTTTCTTCACCACTTCGGTTAAGCTCACCTCCTCATCTGAAGTCTCTTCAGTAGCAACAAAGTTTGGGTAAGAAACATTCAAACTCGACAAAGAAGGGGTCTTACCTTGTGAAGAAGAGGAAGATGATTCCTCTATGGCCTCACTAGGGACATCCACAGGACTGGATGTTCCTTCTTGCTCTTGTGCAGGGGGCTCTTCATCATCTTGCTGAGATTCGTGCACTGGAGTTTATACTCTCACTTCATATTGTGAGATATCGTCATTTTCTACTTCCTCTTCAAACTCATCTCCATGCACTTCTTAAGGTAATTCTCCAAGATCTTCATCCTCTCCATCAACATTCAATTGTCCTTTCGCTGCCCCACTATTTCCATCATCCTCTAATGGATCCTCTCCCCTTACATCGTTCAACGCCACGAAAATTTTGGCAATTTTCGGCGTTGTCCTTTCCTGTTCTGAATCATAAAAAACTAGGGGCTTTTTAGTCAAGATAGGATCTGGAAAAGATGGAGACAAAATACCTTGTAGAGTGGCCGGTTGAGTCTCATCCATAATTGCGTCAGGCGCAATTTGGCACTAAATTTTGACCGTGGCTGAATCTGAATGCTCCAAGGGCTCCGGGTCGTGTCTTGAATCCCCACTAACCTGTTCTTGACCATCAACATGCACAGCAACAGTAGTGGAAAGGGGGAGGGATAGACAGTTCTAAAGACTCGGAAACAGAGTTATCTTGCGAAAGATTCATCCTACGACGTATACTAATGCTATTTAACTCAAGTTGAATCTTCTCACTCACTTTCTTTAAATTTTCCATGAATTCTTGTCATTTTATGTTTAATTCCTCAATTTTCGCATAAACTCTATCATTCTCTTTATCCCTAATTTCGTTATTTTTACTAAACATCTCCGCTCTCTCTTGAAGTCTAGTGATTTCCTCATCTAAGGCAGTGCCTTTTTCCTCTAAAGTTTGATTTTTCCGAAGATAGACTTTACTAACTCCTCCTAATTTCTTTTCACTATGACCCTCTTTATTAACCCTAGCACCATTAGATTCCATATTAATTTTTTCAGAATTTGTACCACCTATGGATAGATTTCTCCTAGGGTTCATTCTTATAGCTTCCTCATATTTTCTTATTTGTGCCCTAGGATCAAAAACTAATTTTTCATGAGAAATCCTAGGAGGTTCAAGAGGAATCATACCCGGTTTAGTTGGTGGAGGCAACAACACTATTTTCTTCTCCTTCTCTTTGTCGTGTGGCTTGGAGGAAGAAGAACCTTCCATGATTCTCGAGTTTGCTTCACGATCAACAACAAAAATCCCTCCAATAAACCCTAAAGGTGCCGAAAAGGAGAGGGATGAGAGAGACTTTGAGATTCTTTGAGATTTCTTGAGAGACGATTTGAAAACAAGTGAAAAAATCTTGGTGAAATCGTGAATGGGGTGTTTTGAAATCTTAGGGCTTTTTGTTTTATGTTTTAAAACATATTAACAACATAATTGGGTTTAAAATTGGGCCTCTTTTTTATTTAAAAACAACCCAAAGCCCATTTAAACATAACCCAAATAAAGCCCACGAAAACCCTAATCCATAACTCAAAAATCGAATTTTTTCTCTTAAATTGCGTATGGCGCAATGTTGACGAGGGTCGGATCTTGATCCTGCAAAGTTCAAATGCAAAAACAAAAATTAGATTTGGAATCTACACAAAAAAGCCTTAAAGAAAATGTAAGAATTTCGCAAAAATAAGACAAAAAATATTTTACATAAAAACACCCTCCAAACTGCCCGAGGGACTGTTTCCACTGTTTTCTCACGGGTCTTTCAGTAATACAGAGGTTTTACCTCTGTCAATATACTCACCATAATATTTCTTGACTCGATGCCCATTTACCTTAAAGATATTACCTTTGGAACCCTTTAAATTCATCGCTCCATGTGGATAAACATGTTCAACTACGAATGGGCCCGACCATCTAGACTTCAACTTACTTGGAAACAATTTTAATTAGCAAAACTAAGTCTCCAAGTTCTAAATTCTTGTCCATTATCTTTTTATCATGTCACTTCTTAGTTTGTTGTTTGTACATCTTGGCATTCTCATAAGAAAACTGAAACTCATCCAGCTCATATAACTGGAGCAATCTCACTTCACCTGCAGCAACATAATCAAAATTTAGTTTCCGCATAGCCCAATATGCTCTATTTTCTAACTCTAACGGAAGATGACATGCTTTACCAAAAACAATGCAATATGAGGACATGCCTAACAGAGTTTTATAAGTAGTTCTATACGCCCACAAAGCATCATCAAGTTTAATAGGCTAGTCCTTCCTATTTACATTCACAGACTTCTCTAAAATTGACTTTATTGCCCTATTTGATACCTCCTCTAGTCCATTAGTTTGAGGGTGATATGCAGTAGCAATCTTATGGTGAATGTTATACTTTTTAAGCAAATTACTTACTACCCTATTGAAAAAGTGCGTACCTTCATCACTAATCAAGCATCTAGGTGTACCATATCTAGTGAAGATAAACTTTTGCAAGAAGAGAGAAACCACCTCGGTATCATTAGTAGGGGTGGCCAAAGCCTCAACCCATTTCGAGACATAATCAACAGCCAAGAGAATGTAATTCTTACCGAATGAAGGTGGGAATGGACCCATGAAGTCGATGCCCCAAACATCAAAAAGTTTAACTTCCAATATTGGGTTTAAGGGTATCTCATGCTTCCTTGACAAGTTACCTGATCTTTGACAACAGTCACAACCTTGAGCAAATATGTGAGCATCTCAGAATAGGGACAGCCAGAAGAAACCACTTTGGAGGACTTTTGCTGCAGTCTTACGTCCAGCAAAATGCCCACCATATGGTGATTTGTGGCACACCTCTAGAATATCCTTTTGTTCATGCTCAGCAACACACCTGCGAAGAATATTGTCAGGTCCTAGTTTAAACAAGAAAGGTTCATCCTATCTATAAAACCTAACATCATGAAAGAACTTATTTATCTGGTGCTTACTCAAATCATTAGGAATTATTTTGCTAACCAAATAGTTCGCATAATCAGCATACCAAGGGACTTCAGAAATAGCTAAAAGATACTCATCCACAAAATGCTTTTAATCTCACAACTATCATGCTGCAAAGAAGACTCTAGCCTAGATAAATGATCCACTACTTGGTTTTCTGTTCCTTTTCTATTTTTTACCTCTAAGTCAAATTCTTGTAGCAACAAGATCCATATAATCAACCTAGGCTTAGCTTCTTTTTTAGCAAACAAGTATTTAAGTGCAGAATGATCAGTCAACACTATCACTTTAGCCCTAATCAAATATGAACGAAACTTATCAAATGTGAAAACAGCCAAAAGTTCTTTCTCAGTCACAGTATAGTTTAACTGACTACTGTTCAAGGTTTTACTTGCATAATAAATAGGAGGTAGCGGCAGCTTATAAAGATCGAACGACATCCTCCGAAATGCAAATGTCCCATAGGGACACGTGAACGCGGTCTTTTCTTGGTCCTCCGGAGCTATAGTAATCTGG